GAGGTGTGTCAGGATCGTGCTAAATCTGTCTCTAAGTCTGTAGTCTCTGTCTACCCCTCCGGGTGATCATCTTAGGTAAGAAAACCGATAGCAATATTTTTATGAATGCTTCGGATGACAAATCTATTTATAATGGCGAAATATAATATCACTATGATAGTAACTAAACGGTTCACAACATAATTCATAATGCTAACTTCAACAGAAGTCAATTTCATTTTTATAGAAAAATATTTGGCAAAGGAGCAAACAGTCCACATTTAAATTTGATTGTAAGTGGATGTTACGTCCCACAAGCACATAATAAAGCATCAAAATACAAATGCGTCGCCAACTATGAGGACAATGATTAAATGAGACGTTAAAGGAGATACTGGTTTCATCACTGTGGCAATTACTACACGCTGGTATTCGTTGATTCCATTTCCGATAGAGCCAATTCAGTCATGCTACTACCGTTAATCAGGTGCAACGGCTGTATAAGGTTGAATATTTTGTCAATGTAATTTCTTTTATAAAATATGGAATACTTCGACAAAATAAACGTCTTTAAAATAATCTAGAAATGTTTTTTAATAAAGATCAAGACTAATATTATCTTTACAAAGTATAATACATAAGTTTCTCCCACTTAAAGTTATAAAGTAAAACATAAATAATAAAGGCCCCAGTGAGTTGAACTTCGTACCAAGCTCGAACGTAGTACACAACTTCTGGAGTAAGTTGGACAATTTAATTTAATTAAATTAAGTTTTTATCAAGTATAGTTTACTGGGCGACACTTCTTCGATGGGGTAACTTTATTTCGATGATGTCATGGCTTAGTTCGGTCAGAGGAGTTACTTTTCGCAACTATGGAACTTGAGTTCGAATCCAACCACCTAACATAAACAGACTTCGAAATAAACTTATGTATACATACATAAAAAATTGTATAAACAAATACATCACTTTATAAGCTATTAATATTACTACAAATAAGTTGCTTTTCGGGTCTGATTATGTCGTGCGCGCTTGTATCCGCGGATGTAAGTCCCGCAGCTGGCCACGGGGCCTCTTTCCTTTCTTTCTTTATTTCCTTCTCATTTCATAGAGCCTGCCACCCTGCTAAAAAGGTTCGGACAGATTTGATATGTGCAATTTTTTATTTCTCAGACTTGCAAGTTTCAGAATGTTTTCCTGCACCACCGGGCACTTAGTAAATGAGCACTTAAAAAAATTAAAAATGCAATTTACAATTTTATTAGTACTATTGATTTATGTAGGTACTTGGGTTCGCTTAATATATGAAATTAAACGTTTATGCAAATTATTTATTAAATGGAGGTACATCCATAATTACTTTCATAGCTAATGAGTCGGTTTATAATAAACACAGTACTTACATTTATTCTGAATTGGTATAACTGAAATGCAACAATCAAGTTTTAAATCTTTTCTTTTTTCGAGACGAATTCCAAAAAAAGAGGGCGCTATGTATATATATATACGCATAAGTTTTTTATGTATGATTACCGATTTATCGAAAACGGCTGAATTGATATAAATATAAATTATAAGAAAATATAAAATAGGAAGTTTTTAACGTGACTATTTAGAATTAGATGACATTCTAGTTGTTATATTGAATTTAGATATTCCGTAAAGCACTCTAAATGGTAAAAAAAATTGTAAAAAGTAGGTAGGATCTTAGATTTACTTAGACATATAATTATATTAAGGAATTAAAACCTTGATAAGACGTTATTATGAGGAAACTATTTTGTTCTGGTTGTCGGTTTCACTCTCTCAGAAAAGTTTAATTACGATTTAAAAGATATTTACAAATAAGGGCTTCGTTTTTTTTAGATATTTAGAAGTAGGGTTCGTACGATCAAAATCTCATTTATCAGTCCTATCTTAAAAAGTGTAAAAACGTGTTCTTATACACTTGCATCAGATTAACAATTTAGTTACTCTCAAAAGAGATTTTTTTCGATTTAGATATATCAACTGCAAGCATCGAATATGATAAACAAAGAAATGAAATCACTCACTAAGTCTCTCCCTTGCACATTAGTAAGGATTAACTTCGAATGTTGCCGCCGTATGTCCATCATTCGGTTGTTACGCCGGGGAAACAGTTCACATGAGATTTCCGTTTGCAATAAACGAGTGAGCAATGTAATGCAGACGCCTCCCGTGTGCGTGACCGTTGCACTGACGAAAGATTTTATACTCCTTCAGTTTTGCCACAGGACTAAATGCAGTTGATATTAATAATCAAAGCACAATACTCACACAAATATGACATTTAATTGAAAACATGCTATAAAGATAAAATTTGCTGTACGCTTTATTTTGTGCCGATTATCAACGTTATCAGTCTCAATGTAATTTAACCATTAGATGACTAAACTGCGTCGATAACTTTAATTTGAACGCGTACTTTTATTGAAAAATTGTAAACGGTGACGACATAACGACACAGATCGTCTTACTTAATGGCGCCTCTCTTGTGGTTTTGGTCGATTTTGTCCTATTCACCAGGTATTTATTATTAAATCTAAATATGTGCACACTTTCCATTGTGTGTCAATAGATTTTATTGTTTTGACTATTATTTGGCAGAACAAAAGTGATAAAAACTAACAAAAATACAAAAGGGGCACCAGGCAGTTTTAAATTAGATATCGAACGATGTCTACTTTATAAATGCATCCCTGTTAACATTAGTTAACATTTTACTCAGGAGGTTTTTAAAATATTTTCATTCAAAATTAAAAAAAAATATTTTGACTTCCTTTACCGTTACAGCTTAGCAAGAGTCCACTGTTGAAGAGAGTTCTCCCCCATAATTTGTCCATAGGAGAACTTTTGTCATAGTTTTCACATTTGGCAAGTGAGTTGATAAGCGAAGTTTTTTTGTTATCATAAGTTGTTATCAGGAAGATGCTGTAATCCATTTCCTTTTCCCGTTTCCCTCTGTTGCCTGTTGTGATACCCACGGGCCTACGTAGTTCACAGAATAAATAATAGTACTACGTATAGAGTACCTAATGGATATTCTTACTCCGCCATAACACGGTACGCTATATTATTTTATTAGATACTAAATAACAGTTACGTATCTACGTCAAATTAAAGTATCTACGTCAGTAACCATTAAAGCATATTAGATTGTTGAGTCGAAAACGATGTACTCAAACATTCGGAAATTATACATTCATCGTTGACTGAAACTGTCCAGCAGAGTTCAGAAATAAAAAGAAAATTGTTAACATCAAAAAGTAATTTAAACGTCGTTGGTAATTTCACAGCTAGTGAATCATAACACAACGTGTTGACAACGGTGAATCGCGGCCACAAAACCGATGCCTTTTTATTGATTATCAAAAGCGCACAATAGATAAAAGATGGCGCTGCATGTATTGTCGCTTAGTTCGAACAGACGGCGCCACCGGAGTCGCTGGTCGCTGCTTTACTAAAATGGCAGTTGAATATTTTTACCCGCAAAGGCTGTGAAGCGTTGTAACTCGAAAATATACCTTACACTCATGGTGAAATGTTTATTTTAGATTGGCTATCGATGAAGACTTACGAATTCAGAGACAGCGCGTGTATTTGTGGTGGAGCTCCGTCATTGTTCGCTAAATTGTCGCTTGCACGGAACCGGCCAGGCTTGTCGTGATTTAGGTATGAGCACGCAGCACACAGCACACAATGACAGTATACATACATTTAAACACCTGCTATTAAACATGCACAGGGTCACAGAGCGTAGGTACTGCCTACCTACTGCAAACCTCGTTAAATACAATGACAGATAAAGATCGCGGTGTCGGTGATTTGGATGCATCCATAATTACCAACAACCAGTTCCACAGTATATAAATAATTTTATGAGTTCAACGAACTCATGTTTACACCTCGTAGAAACAAAGTCATGTTTTGAAAATAATGTCGAATAAAAGCAAACGGTGTGCGCGATTTCAATAACCAGCAAATACAAGTATTACGTAAGCCTATCTAATAAAGTATTTCACCATTTTTGTCAAAATGTCTTAAACCTGATAGATATTCCTCTTAACACTTGAAAGAAACGGATCATCTTCCGTTCGATAGGATTTTCTGGGCTTAAAGGATTTCACATGTGCTCCGTGTTGGATATTTAAACTTAACGATCGTATAAATCGAATTACTATTTGAATGAATTGACTCATTGCTATTTTTAAGCATTGTTGAGATTGGTAGATATACTATAGAAAATTTACTTCGGCGATCCCTTATACGGATTAAGCAACCCGCGCACTACAGCCGCTCGTTTGTCTGTCTTTGTGCCAGACAAGGTGCTAAACCAATGTGTTTTGTGGAACCGATCTTAACGAAACCGCAAAATGTTTTCGACGTATGACATTAAATGAATCTCGATAAACGTCTCAGAAAAAAAATGTTGTAAGGGTGAACGCGTCAATTCGTATAACGACATCCTTCAGGCCTGAACAGAGATAAAGTGTACCTAATTGCAGTAATAACAGCGGTCGCCTTTTGGATTCATTTTTTCGACTTTAAATAGTAATATTTCGTGACAGGGCGGCAACGCGGCTACACGAGGCGTCGGAGGTTTTCTGGCCCATCGCACACGGACCGGTTCGCCGCTGGCACACACGCTACGAAAAAGCGAAACTCGTCGTCTCGCATTCGAGAGCGATAAACCTTTACTTCGTATACGGACAAACGGCAAACGACCTATTGGTACTAATTTGCAGTCTCGCGTTTGTTCTGCTTTAGGTGGAAACAGGAACGGGTAATAGATACAAAGTAAACGGCAAACAACACGGACATTTATATATATGCCGTCAAACTTTGCTAACCGCTAGTGCACTTTGCTATGGATTTATGGGATATATTGGCACAAATGTTTGTTATTGTCACCTGCTATAATTAAATTGACAAGTTAAATTGCATATATCCTAAATAGCAAATTTTCTGTATGTGCGTAAAAGAAAGAATATACGTACCAGCGGCGAATAAAATGCAGAACTATCAACTCCGATGCTCGGATAGGGGTTCTGATCTGAAGAAGGATAAGGCGCTCCGTAAACACCGACAGCAGCGCTGGAGAGACGCGGGTATGAGGTGAGGGCGAGCCTGGCCCCGTCGTACTGGCAGGAGCAGACCGTCTGGCCAGAGACAGGGTCAGTGATGATGGGGCGTGGCGTGTCGCAGCAGGAGGCTGCTGGGGTGCTGGCGTGGCTGCCCGCGCCAGGGGACAACGCCCCGCCAGCTACCCCGGAGCCTCCAGGCGACAGCGGAGGCACCGAGTTGGAGCCCCCGTCAGGTGACGTAGCTGAACCGCCGTTCCCCGCGTTGCTGCCGCCGACCAGCAACTACGCAAATAAAATAAAATAAACTGTATAACGTGGGCAATTTTAAAAGTAAGTTATAGTAAACAAATTTATTGACCATAAACTATTTACTCTAAATACTTAAATTTTATACGTGGTAGAGTACGAGGCATTAGTATCTAGTATAGGTAATTGTAGCACGAATGGGTCGGCTCGACCGGGGAAGCACCACACTCTCATAGAATACCAGCGCAAAATAGTAACATAATGCTACTACTGTGTTTCGTATGATGAGTGTAGAGAACCGGAGACCCTTTTTACTGGAAACGAGGCATTCTATCTTGGTCCTCACTGGTGAGACCACATCTGCATATTGATTTGTAATCGAGGATAAATGTAGATGTCTATGGGCCATAGCAACCACTTACCATCAGGTGGACTGTGTAGGTACTCGTTTGTTACCCTATTCAAAAAAAAAACTAATTACGCTACTCGTATATTAAAGATAGGCCAAGTTAATAGTATCTACTCCCGATCGATGAACATGTGTTCGTAGGTTTAAGGATGTAAGAAGCGAGAGATGTGTGGGTCGTACCAAATATCGGTATGTCGGTAGTAACAACAACCTTTACCAATAAGAAAACATTAACCAAATAGTAATATAATATGAAAAATGAGCTAATAGGTGTTTATGTCAAGAAACTTTCTTGAAGTCGAGAAGTTTTCAGTGTTTCAAACCCGTGCCGCACATTGCACGTAAAGCCGTTGGTCCTGTGCCTGAGCTCACTCAGGTCGTATTGTATTGTCCTCCGATCGGAATATGAGAGTCAGGAAATAGAGAATGGATTTGTGCTTGAAACTGGTCGCCGTAACCGAAATTCGGACTACCGATAATAAGTATTTGAACCGTCAACTCTATATAAGTAGTCTCGTATATAAAAGTTCGTTCAGCCGTTGTATTACAATTTTTTACGCCAAGAAAACAACTGTTGGAAATATCATGTCAACTTCTAACGAACATTTTATATGACTAGTAAATCTAAAGCTCACACATAGCATGGCGTGCGAAATGTGATATAATGTATTTTTTTAAACCTACACACTTCCCCTTGTTTTGATGCGCATCAGGTATATATGCCGTGCGTTAGACTGTTAATGATAAATAAGCCCGATACCTCAATGAAAAACTTACTTCACTTACTGTTGAGAAAAAAATTGTTTCATTTATAATATAATACGGACTCCTTTGCATTTGATTTATATAGTAAATCTTCGTTTTTAATCGAATATTAGCCGAATGTGTTCAATAATAAGTAATAGATTATTTAAATATTTTTATTCACTTCGAGAACTTCAAAGAAAGAAATATGTTTACTCGCTAACTTACTCTAATTGACACAGCGTGGTAAATTTAGTGACAGCTCTAGTGATAAAAAATGTGCCCCTGATTTCGCTGGCATCTTTTACTTCGATTGTTTTAAATCCGAGTAAACTGATAATTTACTCGATTTAAATCTTTATACTTTTTGGCCTTATTCTAATTTTACAAACTATACTGCAGTATAAACTCAATTAATTATGTTATAATATGTTTATAGGAGCCGTGGTAGCTCAGATGGTTAGCGCTCGCTGTAAATTTCACAATACGCGAGCAAACCGGGTTCGATCCCCGCCGGCACCAATGAAATTGTTAATTGCAATTTTAAGTGCTGATTTACCACGTGCTCGGCGGTGAAGGAAAACATCGTGAGGAAACCTGCATGTCTGAGAAATAAGAAAAAAATTATTTCGAAGACATGTGAACTTCGCCAACACGCATTGGGGCAGCGCGGCGGACTGTTCCTTGCCCTAAAACCATCTCAGAAATAAGAGGAGGCCTGTGCCTAGCAGTGGGACGTATATAGGCTGTAACTTTAATATGTTTAAACGAATATGTAATTTCATCATCAAAACCGAACAGCACAACGCAACGCAACTTACGGTTGCGTAGCACTGCTGGTGCAAATCGTCTGCCGGTTCACTCCGCAACTGCGCTGTATTTTAGGTGACAGGCGTGAGTGTTTATGTATGCGTGTTGTATGTATAATTTTTTACAGCCGAAAATAATATAATTACACATTGCAACGAACCCAACGTAAAGCAAATTCAACCACAACTGGTGTCTAACACAGAGGGTTCCGTACATCACCTAATTACCTATATTTAAGTTTGCGCTAAGAATATCCGAAGAAGATCTCCAGAAACAATGATACACAATAAGTTGGTACATGAAAAAGTCCCACTGGGTTTCTTGCTGGTGCTTCCCAGGACAGAGGTTTTTTCCCAAAGTGGTAAATAAAAAAAATGACTTTCAATAAATATTATGCAATAATCTATATTAATAAAAATCATTCATTTTATTTCTCCGACAAAAGTAAAAGTGTTTTTTGTATATTACTGTCAATGTAGAAAAAAATTACTCTAATTTATAAAAACGGAGCTCCTTGGATTACAAAATGATGAGGTATTGACATTTTTGGCTCAAAGTTATACGAGAAAAAAACAAAAGAAACCTGTTTTAATTATAGCTATACTTAATTATAATAAAAAATCAAAAATACTTTCAACAGAAAAATATGGACTAAATAAGTAGGACCAATAAATTTTACAATCACGCCAAGTCTTAGGTTAATAGCAATCACTGAGTTTTATAGCCAACTCAACGGTGAAAGAAGATAACTTAAACTGAAAATGTTTGAAACACCCGATACAAAAAACTGATGATCTAACACACAAAAATTTTGATAAACATGTCTAAGGACCACCGCTAGAAACTCGCTTTAAAATTAAAAAAAAACCGGATACAAATTGGTTCATCCTTTTTGGAGCTACGGTGTCGCAGACAGACACACAGACAGACGCACGCACGTAGCGGTCATACTTATAATACCCCCTTTTTCGTCGGCACTAATAAAATGGACCTGTCAAAGTCTAGAAGGGCAGCGCGATGGACTTCTTCCCTGCTCCAAAAACCCTCTCAGTTTGTTTCGCCTATGAACACAATAAATCAGCAGGAATTATGAAGAAACATATGTTAAGAAAAACACACAATTAGTCTTTATACATCACTGTAGGGAGATAAGGGATGGTATCGTAGTGTTGAAGGAGGCTCAACCTTAATTTCTATAGAGGTTTATATGCATGTAGATAGAACGAGAAAATGTATTTTATTCTAACAGTTCAACCTTTACGTTAAAATTTAGTGAGAGTTCTATTAAAATTAGTCGGCAGGTTTTTATGTGATACGTGAACAAAAAGACTTACAGCCGAACAGTCACCGTTTACAAAACATAATTGCATATATCTGTATCGTTATTTACCCCAATCAAAATTACTAAATCGAAAACTCTAAGAGAATGTTTTCAGAACATTAACGTTTTTAGCTTTTTAGTAATTTTGATTGTTTTCGTAGTACAGATTAGATAAAGATGTATATCTATATAATAAAAATAATAATGTCCTCCAGACAGATTTTACGATGTTGTAAATAAAAACATATTTTTATTGACTGATTTAAAGTCCATTGAGCCGTAGTAGCTCAGCGGCTAAGCACTCACTGTTAATGTCACAGTACTCGAGCAACCCGGATTCGATTCCCGCCGGCACCAATGAAATGGTTAATTGCAATTTTAAGTGCTGATTTACCACCTCCTCGGCGGTGAAGGAATACATTGCGACAAAACCTCCATGTTTGAAAAACAAGAAAAAAAATCGAACGTACATGTGAACTTCGCCAACACGCATTGGGGCAACGCGGCGGACATTTCCTTGCTCTATATTCCTCTCAGAAATGGGTGCATGGGTCCCACCAGTGGGACGTATATAGGCTGCAACTTTAATTTTTTAATTTTAAACTAAAAAAAATGTTATTAACATATATCAAGTAAGATTAACATTCAATAAATAGTCATTGATATTCAAGTCGAAACGCCATTCAAAAACCCGCTCTAACGGAGTATTTGCATACTCGAAAAGTCTTAGTCTTAAACTAACTTTTGTTTTAACGACCCTTCGCTGTCGAAGAGAAAAGAGTGATAAAATTTGATTTATAATGAAAATCATTTCTGCATTAAATCGTTATCTAAACTGAGGATCAGCGATGGACGGGCAAGCTCAGTTAGCGTCACGCATAGCGGTGTTTGTCATCGTACGGCATCAATTCACGCAAGACACAGTTGCATGTGGTTCTATTGATCGGGGAAATCGAAGACGACTTGTTAATCCAATACAAAAGCTATGCAAGTTTTATAATAAAAACAAAAATCGCATGATGTACATATTTCTACTTTTATATGTATTTTCACTTAATGTAGCATTTGCTGTGTGACCTACCAATTCTACTATAATATGTACACCAGAGACGTGGTATCTCAGATGGTTAACGCTCGCTGTAAATATAACAGAACGCGAGTAATCCGGGTTCGATCCCCGCCGGCACCAATGAAATTGTTAATTGCAATTTTAAGTTCTGATTAACCACGTGCTCGGCGGTGAAGGAAAACATCGTGAGGAAACTTGCATGTCTGAGAAATAAGAAAGAAAAATATTTCAAAGACATGTGAAGTTCACCAATACGCATTGGGGCAGCGCGGCGGACACTTCCTTGCCCTAAAACCCTCTCAGAAATGAAGGGAGGCCTGTGGCCAACAGTGGGACGTATATAGGCTGTAACTTTACTTTTTATGTACACTAATGTGTTTCTAAATACCAAACATTAATAATATACGAGTGTACACAAGATAAGTTAAGTGAAGGTAAAAAGTTACCCTAAAGGTAAAGTACCTACCATAAATACTTATTTTTATATAAAATGTATAAGTTCACATTCACAGAATTTGAAAACCATTGTATCTTGTTTTCTTATTATCATATCCTCCTTACGACGGCAGAAATCCAGCAGATTCGTTATCTTGAAGGACTTGTCTAAGCCGAGGTTCAACCTAATAATCTTATATCGATTTTCATTAATTCTTTAATTACAGCCCTCCACAAGACCACTGCTA